GGACTGGACCATGCCTTGAAGAACCAATGGTGTTGAGGACAGTGCCAAAGGAATTTTGGTGCGATTTGATTTTATTTCCAATGAGGAATAGAAGATAACAGATGCCAGTCAAAAAAAAATTATGTACAGTATGTATTATTTTAATACAGGACTTTTAACTTCTGTATAATATTTATACCGTATATATAGTATGCACTTTTTAAAAATAGTTTTATGCATATGTACAATTATTGTTTTACTGCTTTGTTTCCAATTTAAAAGTGTTACAAAAAAATTTCTCTTCGTGTATTTTGAAAGTTTGATAATTCGAAGTTTTTCATAGGTCCTTCCAACTTCGTATTATCGAGAGTCGACTGTAAAAGCCACTAGTCATATTAATGTTATAATCAAAAATAATTCTAATGAGTTGCTTAAAATATATAACTGATTCAAATCATGAACAAGACTTTAAAAAGTCATTTTTAGTACATTGACACTTTTAACCAATTATGTAAATAAATATGCCTCCAACTTAGGGAATCTTGCCAAAAATATTTTATCGAAACCGGCTTAAAAGCGTAATTATTGAGAAACAAAACTTGTGTTCAGCGTATGCAGTGGCCTAATCATTTTCCTTCTCTCTTATTCTTTTCCCTTTTGCTTCATTATTTACCGATTTATATATAAAAATATCGGAAACAATTTGATATAGGTAAGGCTACTAGTTTTTGGTGCGATTTTGAAATCGCGTTAATTAGATCTATGGTGACCAGTTTAATGTTATCGTATAGTATTGTTATCACCCTACCACGGCGCAATTTTACAGTTATTTGGCGGGAAAATACGTAGCGTACTGATATAAAATTCTAAAAATGTATTTTATATTTCATTAGAAATAAAAAGAAGTAAAAGCTGTCTGTGAGTTTTTTTATGTAAGTTTTATCAGGCATCAATTGGAAAGTTTTTTGATAAATAAGGCTAATTTGTGCGACCGATAACAGAAGGCAAAATCACTTTTTTAAAACTACATTTTCCTTATGTAAGTAACTATTTCCTATCTAAAACTGAATCAGTAGTTTAATAAGTCTGGAAATACGCAGATTTACGTGAAAATATAACTCATGAATCATGAAGAAAAAATCAGCCACAATTATACAGTTTTCTTTTTTTTTTTTATAAATCGAACACTGTCTTTTCTTTGATAAATATTTGCGAGTTTCGACTTAATTATTATCCAATTCCTACTATTAGCTCACTCTCTTCCTATATATATATATCTTGTTCAAAATTTTCAATCGTTAATAAAATACTTTCTATTCATCCAATCAAGTTCAAATAAATTTGCTTAAACTTGTAGTGGATGACACTTAATGTTAATACAGTATTTCAAATATTAATTCATTAATTACAGGTTAATTAATTAAACTAATTATTGGTTTTCGACGTCAACCTAGATCTGTCTCCATTGTTGTAACAATGTAACTGTTAAAATAATGACAAAATTTGCATCGAAAACCGGTTTTTCTGCCAAACTAGGGAAACCGGGTGTGCATAGTTACAACAATGCAAACAAATCATGCTTCTGTTTCAATTCCTACTATTATATAGTTCACTCTCTCCCTGTATATATATATATCTTGGTCAATTGTTAATAAAATACTTTCTATTCCTCCATTCAAAGTAAGTATTGACTTAATTTTTTTTTTAATATTACTTGTTTTATTAATAATGTCCAAAATATTATGACTGTGACGATACTAATATTAAGTCCTAAAAGGTAATAAAATTTTTCTTTTATATTAGATTGAAAAAAATGGCTGGGAAAAACTTACATTAAATGAATAAAATTGATAAAATGAACTTTAGAATGAACTGTTATTACTTTTTTGGACAACTTTCTTCCAAAATTCATTATTTTTTTTTACTCAGATCCACGTTCATAATTTTTAATAGTTATGTTTTATAAATATATAGGCGCATTTTTTTCCTTCCGAAACTTTTTTTCAAATGGCCAGCGACTCTACATACTTAAAACAGCTTCTTAAAACTCTCTGAAACTAAATAAACAATTAATTTTTCCGCAAGAAAATAGGACATATTTACTTAAAATTAGAAAGGAACTTTTTTGATTCATATAATATGTGGAAAAAGAAACACGCTGCTCTTTTTATTTTCGTGCATTCCTATCAATGATATTTTCTGCTCTTGAATTTAAAACTTCGAATTGTTCTTTCCATAAAACAAGCTTTTTTTTGTGTGTGTGGTGTTGTCTCTTTATATAAAATTTTTATTTCTCCACCCATAAAAAGTGTTTAGGAAAGATTTTCGAAGAGCTAGCGATCTGAACATTGGGAGCTCAAGTCCTTATTATGCTAAAGACGTAAATACTGGAAGGAGCCAGTTATCTCCAATTTAAGTGAAGAAATTATACAACCTGAAAAAACCCACATTAAATTAAGGCTAGTGTTTATAATCAAATTTAAAAGGGATGATTTTTGCTCTTCCTGTTATTTTTAATCTTATACATTTTCCTTTAAGTTTTAATTACAACTACCATTTTTCTACGAGCCAGTTTCATTTCATACCCCTCGTTAAAAGGATTAAATCCTGTGTTTTGACCAATTTATTCCTTACTTAGCGACTACCTGACAATATACTTTTCCGAAAATCACCTACTTATTTCCACCATTTTATCCTTCCATTTCCACTTTATAACTCCGCTATCACTCTCCAAATTGTAATTCTTTAGCTGAGAAAATGCAGGGATTCTTTTGTCTCCATCTTTTAACTGTACTTTTAAAGAATGGAAGCAAAACGGACACTCTCCCCATGTTTACACTTCGTTTTTTTAATTCATTTTCCTTTTCGGTTATTTTTTAGTGACGACTGTTTCCAGAATTTATTATATACATAAATATATTGTTACGTAGATCGGGGTTCGAAGATTTTATGCAAATCAGTCGTAAGCAACAAGACAGTTCTTTAAGAGCGATGATAATTTATTGTCGAAAATCAACCCTTGAAACATAGGATTCAACAGCCAAATTCGTAGAATAAATATCAGAAGGATTTCACACCTTCAACAGCACCCATACACAATTATCAGTGTCAAACATACACATACGTAAAAGATTATCCACAAGCACTGCTCGTAATATTGAATAGTCGAGCTAATCGCTAGCACTCACGGTCAAGGCAAGTTTACCAATCGCTAGTCAAAACCAGACTCACTACTCGCTGGTTGAAACCAGACTGACTGTTGCGGCGAGTATCGCTCTATTTATAGCCGTGGTCGAAACTTCGAGAAAGATGCGTTCGTGTCATAGACCGTGAAATTAGTGGATTTCTCCACTAATTTTTAGAAGAATCCAGAGGGTCCCGAACTCACCAAATTGGTCGCCAAAGTCACCAAACAGGTCGCCAACTTGGCTCTATCGCCAATATTTCGCCAAGTTCCCACTAAATCGCCATTAAAACGTAAGGGACGGCATTGCTTGTGAATATTACATTTTTAACATGAAATAAATATAGCATAGAGTAATATAAATGCATTGCACATCCAAATACAAATTATTTACATTATTTTATACAAAATTCTTAACAATATATGTAAAGAGAAAGACGAGATCATAGTTAACTCATCTTTGCTCGAGTCACAGTATCTGTTATCAGTGATTAAGGTAGGAAAGTTTGATGAAGGAGATACGAACTCAAATGTCCTCCTCGTCGCTTGACCTTTGTTCTTAACTATGAGTTCTTTTTTCACGCATATTATTCTGATGCAAAATTAATTGAGAGAATCTGAGCAATAGCTAACTACCCTTTAAATAGTTCTAGAAGTGTTTTAATTTTTAAAGAAAGACTCTAAAAAAAAGCGAAACTCATGTTCTTTGCAAACAATATTTTTTATGCAAAGTTTTTTGATTTCCGAAACAATTAACTACACATTCACTTCTGTCTAAGCATCACGTTGTCTAGCTTATTTTTACACCATAACGAACACGGAGATTGGCTGAAAAACACATCGACAAAAAAAAAAAAAAAGCTGGGTTCTGAACTAGAAAACGAAATCTTAGCCAGAGAAACCTTCAATGTCTCTACCTCCCGACTGTTTTCACAACAGTGTTAAAAAAAAGCGTCTCTCATTTTTTAAACCTCACTGCACTGCTCGAAATGAATGTACTGCGTCGCCCTTTCACGGTGGTGGTGGTTATACGCAGTTCATCGCCACTTGTACGTGACCTTAATTTGGATGAGAAAATAGAGCACACCACTGCTAAATTTAGTGCCAAACCTCGCTTCTCCTCCCCTGACTAAAGTAGCTCGGATATATCTTAATTTGTTGGCCGACAGCTAAGTTTTCTCCGGAGTGGAAACAAAACAAATATAGTCATCAATGAGTTGGCCAATTGGCGAGAAAAGTTTGACAGAGATGAGAAATAGAGCGTCTCAAGCAACACGTGGGTTATTGGTGACGGTCAAGCGATGATACCTGAGCCGCGGTATTTCTTTCTCCAAACTACCACAGCATCGGTAGGGTTTTGAGCTCGTCAGGTATAAAGAACATTAGTTCCTTCTGCATGTTTGGTCTTTTAGTGGCACAAGAGCCCGGTCACGAGTTCGTGACCATAACCACTAAGCTACCACGGCTGTTGATAATAGGTGATATTCTGCTATTAAAAATAGTAAAAAAACTGTTTTCTGTGATCAAAATTATTTTATTAGAGCAAGTAATATATATATAAAAAATTTTAAGTCAATTCTTACTGAGGCCAACAATGAAAAAATTATTTTAGTTACTTTTTATAAAATAGTTACAATTATTATAAAAATGTATATACATATGACAGATTCACAATATTAAGTGACAAAATAGAAAGAGATTTTCCTTGCAATTTTCCATTTTCCTCTCTAAATATGATGTTGGACTATTAATTTGTTTGTTACTATTTATTCATTAGTTAAATTTAATTATTCTAATAAAATAGAATACTAAAAAATCACATTCTCAGAAATTAGGCCATCTCAGGCGGGATTCGAATCCACGACGGTTGGATTCGAAGTCCAACGCGCCATCCATTGCGATACAGGGACACAACAGACGATTTTCATTTCTATATATGCTATTAGACTATTATTTTTGTTTGTTACTATTTAATTATTTTTTAATTTAATTAATGAATTATTATTTGAAAAACTGTATTAACATCAAGTGTCATCCACTACCAGTTTAAAAAATGTATTTGAACTTTAATGGATGAAGAATTGAAAAATGGAATGAAGTCTACGACGTCGCTTAAAATTCTCGATGAAATCTGTTTTTTTTTTCATTATTCCGCTATTTTTCTTTATCAATCAGTAAGCTCCAGTTCTATTACGATTCTTTCTGGATTCTGTTCTCCGTCTCCCGATAAGAAAGCATTGATCAGTGAAATAATGGCTCATAGGATAATCATAATGGAAAGGTGATGCATGTGTAAATAAACGACGTTTTCTCAAACACGAGTGTGTATGCATACACGTGTGGTGTCTATTTTTGTGTGTTTACGGTAAAATATGCCAAAAACAATTTGCTGATGCTACTAAATGTTGATACAAGAGATGGCGAATCAGAAAATGTGTAAAGGGTTGCTCCAGGGAGTAAAAATCGCAATTTTTATTAATTATGTCAAACATATAGCATCTTTTTTGCTCTTTACCTTTTGTTTAATAAATAGACTTTACAAATAAGTCAAATTTGTTTTGCTTCTGTCTCTTTCTTTGCCTGAACTTCATTATCCTTAATTTATGGACATGAGTGTATTTCGACGAAAAAAACCAGGTTCACTATAGGCACAGGTATCCTGTATAGAAATATAAAAAATTTCGAACCATATAGTGCAATAGTTATTTTTAAAATGTACATAAAAGCAAAAAAATTATGCTTTGGAGAAAAAGGGAAAAAACTAAACATATTTGTAAACGTTTGCTTACATGTTTTTCAATTCCTTTTTCATATTTTAAGATTATTTTATCAACGAACTTATAACTGTTATACATTTTTAGATTCAGAAAAATATGCACTATTTTTTACTACTAAAATTGAAAAATCGATTTTTTTTTAATGTGGCCGATGTCCTAGTTCCCTTAAGTAGAATACCGGAGTAATGCAAGGAATGGAAAAGCTGAGTACTTGATATTCTTAAGCCCCAATTACTTGAAGGAGACGATGTGGCTTAGAATATCTCCATGTGATATATGAACTGGCAGTTCACTCTCCAAAATGACATAAAAGTAATGATTTTTGAGTCTCGTTAACACTAATGACTCATTAGGATCCGTTATTAAGCTAATTTAAGCCTTCTTAATGAGCCGTATGTAACATTGTTCTACAATAAGAGAATCAAACTTATTTTCACTCACTATCCACATTCAAGTGGACCGCTACTACACATAAATTGGGTGGTAATATATATATCCTCTCTTAAAATTTACTTTCCATGTACGAATACTGTTTCCTGAGATTTTTAACATAGTGCCTTTTGGCATTACATTTTTAATCATATTAGTTACTGTACTGCTTTATGATACTTAAGTTACACGAGGTAGGATTCAAAAGTTCCCTGACTGAGCCTGTAGCTTGAAAAAATTTTGCAGTAGAGCTAATACGATAACATTTCTGTGTCGCTACATTATTCCTCTTTTTTAATAAAGTTTGTCTCAAATCACGTGATTGATAGCTTGCTACGGCGTTGTATTTTGTAGATGGCGCATTTAGTAGTCGGCGATTGAAAGAGATTGCGTTTGTTGAGCAGAGAATGAATAACAAACTTTGTGTTGGCTTGGAAAAGTGTGCTACGGAGACTTTCGAAATGTCGAAGCATGTTTAAGGCAGTGATATATTATCGCGAACGCAAAATTTTGAGGGCATTGACATTTCAGAGAAGGCATGGAAAGTGTCAAATACGCGAACACTCTGGACGTCCGCAGACTTCAAGCACCGCTGAAAACATTGAAAAGTTTTCTGCGGCGGTACATAAGAACATGCTTCAAACAACGACGGGGTGAAAATGAAAAAACAACTTTTTTTGCCACATCCTTCTTACTCCCCTGATTTCGCTCCCTGAAACTTCAGAATATTTCTTGAACTGCCACGTCACATGTAGGGTCGTCGATTTCGATCTGCAGATGAAGTTAAAAGTGCTTCACAGGTTGAATTAAAGGACATGGCTAAAAATGGATTCCAGAAATGTTTCGATTAATTTTACAAGTGATGGCAAAAGTGTGCTGCTACTCAAGGTTCTTATTTCAAAGGAGGATGTGCTTCAGCAACTTAACTGGTAATATTTTTTTAGACTCAGTCCGGCAACTTTTGAATCCTACTTCGTATTTTAATGAGCTTTTTGTTCTATCTTGGGTCTGTAATGACTACAATGCTGTGATATAAAAGACACTCCTATACAATTTGGTGATAAAAGTTTCTCATTTGCCTATATGGCGATAAATAACAGAGGATTAAATAGGATCAAACCTAATTATACTACTGATTTTAATACAAACAATGTTATGATACAAGTAATTTTTGGCAGAGGCTCTTCAAACCTCCTCTTTCTTTTGAAATTATTTTTTAATCAACTTACTTTTCTTTGTTAACTTTGAAAGTGATGTTCTGCTGAAAAAAGTAATACTAAGCATTGACTTTTAATTAGATTTATTAAACATATTTTTCTCATTCTTTTGCCAAAATATTATTGATTTAAAATGCAAAAGGCAGTGGCGTAGCTAGGTATCCAAAAGCCCTGGTGCAAAAAAATAATAATAAGGGCCTTATGTTGGTTGGGTTTTAACAAGTAAAAAAGTAAAAATATATGAATATTTTAAATATATATACAAAGCTACAATTTTTATTTACTATCTTCTTTTTTTTTGGTGTTGTTTGCGCTTAAAAGCACCACTGGATTTCTTTCTTTTTTATCTTTATAATATTAGTTTTATAATTTATCCAATACAATTTGTATAAGCTTGAGTACTTACTGACATTAAAAGGAAGCAGAAACGTAAAGCTGCACTATAAAACGTCGTTGGGGGATCCTTGGATATTCATTTATTTATTGGAGAGGATTGAACTTATCTACTAGAGGGCTTAGAGCTACAAAATGGTCCACCGAAATAGACAGAATACAAAAAAATATGCATTAACAAGAAAATAAAATAAGTTATTTTTTTAAAAAATATATATCTCTGCAAAAGAGTAGGGAGAGGGGGGGGGGGCAAAATTTCATCAGTGTATTGAAGATACGAGAAGATTGGAAATATTGAAGCAGGAAACTAGGTTATTAAAAACAGAATATAACTAGGAAGGAATTTCTTCTTATGTAGGTTTTTTAAGATGTAATAATAAGTATGGTAAGATTTTTTTTATGGAACTTGGAAGTTTATTTTCTAGTAACAATTTTTAGAAAATGAAAAAAAAAAATTGAAAATAACTTAAAACTTTTCAATAAGTAAAGTTCGCAACACTGAACAAACAATAAAAAGAATTTAGGGGAATTTCCTACAAATTCGAAACTAATTTCAACCGAATTGCGATAATCATAGTTAAATGGCAGTCTTTTATTTTTTGTAAGTCTTAAATTTGGGCGAAAAATCGCAAAATCGGCTTGCATTGTGGTCAGGGTCCAAAGTCCCCCTGAGCATCAGGGCCCCGGTGGATGGCACCACCTAGCCCATTGGTAGCTACGCCAATGGCTTAGAGGATAAATTAGATTATCAGCTAACAATTTTGGAAATGAGAAAACAAGGTGAAAGTCATTAATGTTTACTGGTAGTAACAATAAAAAATCAAAATTTTTTGCTTCTTAGGTGGAGAATCAGCATGAGAGCTATCCAAGCAACAAGAAGGTGCTAATTTGGAATTCAAATGCAAACAACTTATTTTTAAAAAAAACATAAACCAGGATTATTTTTTCTCTCTTAATGCGTTGTCTAATTGGAACCTCTTTGTGCATGCATGTCACATCAAGGTTTAGAAGATTGATGCATTTCACGGTTAGGTGTCCAAAAAAGGCGGTCATTACACGCAATTAGATTAAATAAAGGTGACACACATAGCAAAATGACAGGCACGACATGGATTGTCTCAATTTAGCTATCGATAACGTGTAATTACCAAAAACGAAATAGTTTTCTTGATACCAGCCATTTCTAAAAATGCTTTTACAACAAGGCTAGCCGTTACCCACCCGATTTTCTAGGTATTTCATCATGTTGTGCGACTACACAAATGTTTTCAATCAGTGACACGCACAAGGAAGGGGGGGGGGGTCCCCCAAGTCCGGACACCCTCCCCCTAAAATCCTTGATCTTTTTTTCAAAAGATTTTGTTAAAAATTATTTTTATTCTTTTATGCTAATTGTCTAATCAATAATTAATTTTTTACTGTTTTTTGTTTCCGAAATTTCTTTTTCTCCTATTGGGGCTGCGCATTTGGTATTTTAACCTTTGTAGACCTAGAACATTTCCCAGAAGCTGTTATCACTTTTCAGCGCGGCACCATATAGACGATACCAATTACCGCAAGTAATTTTGACGACCAGTTTCCTCCCCAGAGGGAGATATCTGAGCTCTGGCGATGCGAACCTGTACTAGGATTTTTAATTTTGCCGAGAGCACCCAGGCCAAACAAACACTTGAGGGATATTTTACGTGTCGTATAATAATACGACTTGGCCGTTATCGATTTTCTGCATCATGAAAATCCAGTGACTTGGGCCGGGGTCGAACTCGCAACTTTGGGTGCAGGAAGGCCAGCGACAAACCAACCGCGCCACCCACCCGGCTTGTGGCGAAAATCGACAAAATCAAAAGAATATGTTGGAACGCCTATTAGAGTATTATACGAGAATGGTAGACTTTTGATTCTTAACCCCCCCCCCCTTGAAAAATTCTTGTGTGCGTCACTGTTTTAAATTTATTCGTACCTAAATTCTAGCATTGATTCTTGTCATAATTCATAAATTCTATTCCAACATCATTTCAAAGCCAATTTTATCTCCTTTCTACGAAACATCTCTTTTATTTCGCCCCTCTTAAATCTCGCCCACGCGGCTGGTGT